CATTAATTTGTGGATTCTTTCTGTTATTTTTTTATTTGTTTTTTTTTGTTCTTTATTTGCTATTTTGTTATTATTTGTGGATTCTACTACTTTCCAAATACAGATTACCTTTTTAGTAATTGACGTCTTTAGGCAAAAGAAGGAAAAATCTTTTTTATGAACAGATCTTTTCAATCTTCAGATTCGAAGTGGATGGGCGCTGGATAAGTCCCAAGGAGACAGCATGAAGGACAAACTGCGCAGGAGGTTAACTGTGATTGGAAATTCCAAGTTGTCTCCCTGCTTGCCTGGGAGAGGCAGTACGGACTGCACAAAGATGTTAAACATCAATCAGACTCTGGAGCCTCTCAGCCCCTGCCTTGGCACATGCCTGGAAAGTCTTCCTTCTCTCTCTTCTTCCTCCTCTCTGGACCTCACCAACTCCTTGGCCCTTTCAGGCTTAGTTCATAAACAGGCATCGTCCCCTGCGATTTTGTACACAGTTTTGCATGACTACCCAAAGCTCTATTAGTTTCCTGCCCACTTCCCCTACTTTTGTGCTTCTTGGCACTCAATTCATTTATTCCTCTATAGCTGGTTTCAACAGAGAATTTGCTTTATTCTTATTTGTTTCCCTTGTTATTTCTTTGTCAGTAAGTCATCTCTGACTCTTCCGTGATCCCATGGACTGTAGTCTGCCAGGCTCTTCCATACATGGGATTTCCCAGGCAAGAATACTGGAATAGATTGCCATTTCCTTCTCCAAAGGATCTTTCTGAAGCAGGATCAAACCCATATCTGCAGTGGCAGACAGATTCTTTACCCCTGAGCTACTAGAGAAGCCTAGATTTATCTCCCTACCTGAACTGCAATTTCCCAGAGAGATATTTTATCCTTATGTCTATGGCAAGTATGGAAGTTTGAAAAGCAATCCAGAGAAACGGTCAAAATTGCTTCATCAGTAAGAACTGAAACAAAGTTTTTCTTAGGGACACCTCCTCCCTATTTTATTATATACTTTATTCAGTTCCTTAAGATTACAGAGTTTCTCTGAAATATTTGCCGGTAAGTGTCACACAACTCAGCAACAGCAAACTTCAAATTCACACTTGTTCCCAGAGAGCATGATCTCAAACTTTACTCTCTCTTTAGGCTTCTTTGATGATCCTGTATTCATTCTGACTTATCATTTATTCAAGCTTATTGCTACAGTGTTTCAATTCTTTATGTACTTATCTTTTCTCTATAATTTGCCCAAGGATTTGCTCATGCCTTTGGAAAAAGCTGTATTTACTTAATTCTGTGACAGAGAAGGCAATGGCACCCCACTTCAGTACTCTTGCCTGGAAAATCCCATGGATGGAGGAGGCTGGTGGGCTGCAGTCCATGGGGTCGCTAAGAGTCGGACACGACTGAGCGACTTCACTCTCACTTTTCACTTTCCTGCATTGGAGAAGGAAATAGCAACCCACTCCAGTGTTCTTGCTGGAGAATCCCAGGGACAGGGGAGCCTGGTGGGCTGCTGTCTATGGGGTCGCACAGAGTCGGACATGACTGAAGCGACTTAGCAGCAGCACTTAATTCTGTGAATCCAGGAGTATTGATCCATTCTATTTGTTGCTTCTGTACGGCTTGAAAAACCTTAAAAGATTACTTGATTAGGCACCTTTTTTCTCTAAATTGTCAACGCTTAGACCCACATAAATTAAAGAAGATGGGGGGAAACTGGATGTTTAGTAAAATGATAATAAATAACAAGATGAAGCACCACTCTCCCCATCTACTTTCTATAGCTCCTGAAATTCCCAGCATTGCCACACTCTTGAGATGACCAGAAGCACCTGTGTGAACCATGGATTAAACACACTCATCATTAGCAACCCACAAAAATCAGATGCATGTCAGATATGTCAAACACTTTGTTAACAGTTTGGGAAAATTCTTGGTCAGTAGTTGCTGTCTTCATTACTCTTTTACTCCCCTTTATTTAGTTTAGTAGAGACTGTAAATTTGGTATCAGGAGTAATCAACACCACCAGAGTAAATAACCACATTTATTGCTTTATATAATGGTAATAACTTCTGTGAGTCATGATAATACTTTTTATTTCAGAAGACTTTCATGTTTTTCCAAAGAGGAATACTTAAAAATTAAACTTGTTCAGAGACATTCAAGAGATTTAAAATAAATGAATTTTTAAAAGAAGCCTAAAACTCATAGTTGAATATCACTGGTAAAAATAAGTCCTTCAGTTGATTCAGTTCTTTCCTTTTCTGTTGACTGTCTAATATTCCCACCCACACAGTGTTAGGTTTCAGTATAACAGAAGGTAAAAGTTTTGGGATGGTGGTCATTCATTTCTCAAATGTTTATTATAGGCCTTTTTAGATATATAAAAATATCTGAGGCCAACTTTGAGTTTAAATGAGTAATAGTCTTAAAAATCTAAATAAATAATAGAAGTTTCTACAAATACATCAAAGTTGACTCTGGCTTAATGCTTTCCTAAACATTGAGAAAGAACTATTTTCTAAAGCTTCCCTTACGTGAAGTAAATGTTACTTTCTTGTAAGTCAGATTCTCACTGAGTAGATTACTTCTGCCACAGCCATGATTTCAACACAGGGTTGAATTCTTGATGATTTTCACTAATTGACTTCCAAGCTTTGAAATATAAAGAAAGAAAACCTTCCTTTTAATTGTAACTCTTGCTAGTCACTGAAACCAGGTGTATCTCACTTTATTTAAATTATAGAACAACTAATCCAACATTCATTTACTAAGAAAGAAAATAAAATTCCAGGAAAGTGAAATAAATTGCTCATGGACACAAATTAGTTAATGGCAAAACTAAGTCTGTTCCTTACTCCCTAACCTTTCCACTATGAGCAGAGCCAAGGAAAGCAGATCTGGAAATATTTATTCAAGTATCATTTTCCCCTTAGAATAAACAATCTTTCCATAAACATTTTCTAACAGCTCCCCAGCTCCACAATTCTACTTCTCCAAGTCACTCATTACAGGTAGCACTTAATTGGAAATATGACTGTAATGGTAACAGATCATGAAAAAAAAAAGGTAATATGACACCATAATTGCAGGATTCTACCATATACCTTAAAAGTTTCAGGTAATCTAGGCAAAAAAAGCTTGCTCCTTGGTTGCTCTATAATATTTGATGTGAACATTAGTTATATCCTGAAGCATAAGAATTTACTGTGACTTAAAATAATTATAAAGTGAATCAATAACAATGTAGGTAGTAAATTAGTGAATCAGATATGAAAGTTATAGAAATCAATTTAAAAAATGTTCAATTTATGTGTCTCAGTAAAGATTATGCATATGTATAAGAACAAATAGGGAAATATTAGTAACAGTGCCAAACATTCAATAAAATTTATTGAGTATTCACTAAATGCCAAGCAGTAGATCATAGGATCACACAATGACCAGCAAATCAATGATATAATCATTCTGTGTAAAGGGTCCATCAATTAATAAGGTAAGATTTATCCATTACAGAAAAGTACATGATTTCAGACAATAAATGGACTAAAGATGTATGTTAAAATTGTGGTAAAAGTCAAATATGCAATCTCAGAGTTGAAAAAATGGAAAAGGAAAGAATTATGCATCATGTCATGTTCTAGGAAGAGTCTTTCACCCTGGTGGTGTTCTTTGGGCTTTCTATAGAGGGAAAGGTAGGCTGAGATCAGTAAATGGTATCCAGCATTGAAATCTGTCTCCCTCCCCAGGTTTGGTCCAATGGCCAATATCACCCACCTAGTTACCATCTCACTACTAATTACTTAAGTCCTACTTCTCTTTTTTTTTTAAAAATACATATATACATACATCTTTAAAAAAATAATCTGTGCTTTTGACAGTACAAAGTGAGAGTAGGATTTATTCCTAGTCACTTTTCAGTATTGTTGGAGACAAATTACTTTGTTATGATGTTATCTCTTTAAAATCATTTTGAGATTATTTCTAAGGTTGAAGGCATCAAAAAGAAAACCTGAGCTTGTTAGAGACAGAGTATAGATCTACCGAACAGCACAACCTTCTTAGGCAAACATTACCACCGCCTTTAGGAATGAAGTTAGGCTGTACAAGGATCATCTTTATTTCCTTTAAATAATGTAGGATCAAATAAAATGTAATCAGACTCATTATTAAGAAAGGAGAACCCTACTTCTTTGGTAGGATTGTTGGGTTAAATTCTCTAACAAGTCAGATGTTTCTTCTCCTTCAGTTTACTTAGTCTAGATACTTAGGATTCCCTCTAGGATATTGTTCAGTCTAAGGATAACCACAGAGCCTCAAAGGTGTTCCTCTATATCTTAAAAAAAAAAAAAAAAAGCACAATGTTAGCTAATAAATAATCTCTATGTCCCAAGGACTGTCTTCTGTCCAGCAACCCAGCTGCTTCTGATGGTATCTAGCCAGAAGACAGACAGCAATGAGAAGTCCTCTCTGCTTCATTGCAAACCCGAGTCTTCCTCTCTGAGTTCATGTACATTAATAAAGCTTAACATTTATGCAGTTCTAATATGTGCCAGACAGTGTTCTGAGAGTTTCACACACAGTATTTCATTCAGCCCTCATAATCAGCTAGTGAGATAGACACATAGACCCATTTTACCAATAGGGACCCTGAGATACAGAGAGTTCAAATAAGTTACCCAAGACCACAAAAATAGTAAGCAATGGAATCAGGATTCAGACCCAAGCAGTTTGATGTTGGAATCCATGCTCTTAACCATACTTTTGAGTCTGCACAAGCACCTATAAAATAGGAGGAAATCCTTGGAGGAAGTGATGTTCTGGATACAAACGATGTATGCTATATCTCATATTGTATCAGTCTCCTAGCTCAGATCTTAAACTTTGTCATTTAACAGAGGAGACAATCCCCAGTCTACAATCAACCACCTGTTTTGCCACAAACCGCAGTGACCCCCGAGTGAAGTGTCTCCTTATCTCCATCTCTTAAACCGAAATCAGTCATTCTCACCTTTCCAGGCATGAGTGGGGCAAGGCTGCAAGTCCTTTGCACATTTTGGCAAGTGGCTTAGCTCCTCAGCTTTGAACACAAGTCCTTATCAGCAGAGCAAGTCTTTGAAAACTTCGAAACCGTCTGAGACTGCCTTTTACTCCGGGGAGTATATAGAGGCTCTCTTCCAGCCCTCTGTCCCTCTGTGGGCCAATCCAGAGCCTTAGAGGAAATTGCAGGCTGGAGAGCAACAGCGCTTGTGTGGGAGGAGGGGGCTGGAATCTTTCCTCTGCGGCAGGCACTGCCACATTAGGTTTTCAACTGCTCTTATCAGAACACTTCTTCTGCCAGGGCAGGGGTAGTCCCTAAACTGTGCATAGGTTGCTCATGCTTTGACTCATAAATTTGAACCCATCACAGCAAAGATGTGGGTTTTTGTTATGAAGCAGAATGCTTTGGGCTACTTCAGATGTGTCTAAGTCACAAGATTGTTAGGACTTGAAGGGCCCTTGCAGATCATGTAGCCCAACTTTGTTCTGCAGTAGAGGAAACAGTTTTAGAGAACTCTGGGGGACATGTATGTGAATCCCTACGGTGTGCCAGGCACTCAGCTGGATGCTGGAAATTCAAATAAAAAGGTACTCTATGCTCTCAAGATCCCGAACGTCATATAAATATAGTATAGGTGAGTGATGGAGGCAGGCCCAGAATGCTGTGAGCTTTTAACCACCAGAAAAGATTTTTTTTGGAGGAAATAACACCTGAGCTGAGTGATGAAAGAGATAAAATACCTTACATGATTCTATCTACTAGATTTTATCCTCTGTTCCCCCAATTCTGTAAATGGTCTTCTGATTGTCCTTTTACTTTGATGACTAGGTTAGGTTATTCTCTGGAGCAACACCCCCATGGACCCACTCATCCTTGGCTGGGTTTATCATGCTTTCCCCTTCAACATTTTCCTGTTTCCTATCATTCAAGGATTATTTTCACCAAAATTTACCTTGCTTGTGTTTCATCCTGTTAGGATTCAAGGGGCTAATACATTAATAAGTGCATGCCTGCTAAGTTGCTTCAGTCGTGTTTGACTCTTTGCTACCCTCTGCATTGTTGCCTGCCAGGCTCCTCTGTTCATGAGATTTTCCAGGTAAGAATACTCGGGTGGGTTATCATGCCCTCCTCCAGGGAATCTTCTGGACCCAGGGATTGAAGCTCTATCTCTTATGTCTCCTGCATTTGTAGGCAATTTTTTTTTTTTTTTTCTTTTTACCACTAACGCCACCTGGGAAGCCCTGAATTTATCATTAGTATATAATGATATTTATCGTTAATGTAATGATATATATCATTAGTATGTAAATGCAAATGTCTAAGGGGTTGGCGTGAGTCTAAGCTAAAAATAAGCAGCATCATATAATCTGTAAAAAAAGCTCTAAACTTGGAATTAAAGGTGATTCTCATAATGTTCCACATTATCTGAAATTGTTTTAAACTGTTTTAACTATTGATCAGGATTTGTAAAGTCAATGTAGTGTATTATAACCTGGTGCTTTAAAGCAAATAAATAGAATATAATACACAAATATTCAACTGCATTGTGTGAAGAAGGTTAGACACTGTTTTCTGAAATTTTTGCTTTAATTAACCATATATATGGATGAATAGGATCATTAGTTAAACTGTATCTCTGACTATAAATCTTGATCATAAACCTTTGAAAGCTATAACTCTATACCATACATTTTTTTTTTTTAGATTTTTAAAATGTGGACCATTTTTAAAGACTTTATTGAATTTGTTACAATATTGCTTCTTTTTGTTGTTGTTGTTTTTAATGTTTTGCTTTTTAGACCAGGGATCCAACCCTTACTTCCTGTATTGGAAGGAAAAGTCTTAAACACTGGACCACCAGGGAAGTCCCTACCATACATTTTTAAAAATAGGGAACCCTATTGTAGTCAATTCTGACTCTATACAACATCAGGCACATAGACATTTACAAAGATTGCTTGAACTATATACAGCTGTCCAAGTTCTGCCATTACTGGCCACTCAAACATCAGCAAATCAATATAAAAAGTGATTGATGACTGAGTCTCATAGTGGGAATATGTGTAAAGCTAGCAGAAGAAACTCCTTAGAGCCAAAGCCTAAATTACTGTTTGATACACAAGTGGCCTTGAGGAGAAAATAATATGAAAAAAATTATGTAGAACATTGGAGAGTGATGCTTTGGCTAGGGCTGAAGATAAAGCAGGTTTCTGACTATCCCAGAAGAGTGATGAGTGGAGTTATTCAAAACTTAAAATTATATCCATCATTGTAAATGATGAACTAGAACACAAAATGAAAAAAAAAAAAGCAAGCTCAAATAGAAAATAAGTATTAATCCAGCATATATTTGTTTTAAAAACTTCATAAAGAGGGCATGTAAAAGAGTTTGCTCATTGTATTAGGGTTCTGAGGAGATATCTACAGAGATGTGTTATAAGGCATTGGCTCACTTGGTTCTGGACATTGAGAAGTTCCAAGATCTGCAGTCAGAAAGCTGAAGACCCAGGAGAGCCCAGGTTTGTGCTCCTAGTCCAGAGGTCTGAGAAGTAGAAGCAATGGTGTAAGTTCCAATCTGAGTCCAAGACCTAGTCTGAAGGCAGGAGATGATCCATGTTGTAATGAAGAAAGGAAGAAAAAATGAAATGTCCCTTCCTTTGCTTTATGTTCTATTCAGGCTATCAGTGGATCGGGTGAGGCTCACCCACATTGGGGAAGGTGATCAGATTTACTCCATCTTCTGATTCAAATGTTTGTTTCATTCAGAAACACCCTCACAGACACACTCAAGATAATGTTTGACCAAATATCCCGGATCCTAGTGGTCCAGTCACCTTGACATATAAATAGAGTCATAGATGTAGGGAAAAAAAAAAAAAAACTTACAGCTATTGGGGATGGGGGAAGGGGGAGGGGAGGGATAAATTGGAAGGCTGGGATTCACACACACACACACACACATGCACACCCACACATAGTAAAATATATAACTGTGCTATAGTTATAGGTCCTTATTGGTTATCCACTCTAAATACAGCAGTATGTACCTGTCCATCCCAAACTCCCTAACTATTCCTCCCCCAACCCTCCTCCATAAGCATAAATTTGCTCTCTTTGTGACTCTGTTTCTGTTTTGTAAATAAGTTCATTTGTATCTTTTTTTTTTTAGATTCCACACACAAAGGATATCATACAATATTTCTTTTTCTCTGTTTGACTTACTTCACTCAGTGTGACAATATCTAGGTCCATCCATGTTTCAGCAAATGGCTCAGTATTATGTAACAACCTAAATGGGAAAAGAATTTGAAAAAGAATAGGTACATTATGCTTGCATGCTAAGTCACTTCAGTCCTGTCTGACTCTTTGCACCCCAAAGGACTGTAGCCCGAAAGGCTCTTCTGTGCATGGGATTCTGCAGGCAAGAATGCTGGAGTGGGTTGTCATGCCCTCTACTACTCGATCTTCCTGACCCAGGGATCAAATATGTTATCTTATGTCTCAAGCATTGACAGGTGGATTCTTAACCTGTGTTAGTTCAGTTCAGTTCAGTTACTCAGTCGTGTCTAACTCTTTGCAAAATCATGGATGCCAGGCTTCCCAGTCCATCACCAAGTCCCAGAGCTTCCTCAAACTCATGTCCATTGAGTCGGTGATGCCATCCATACATCTCATCCTCTGTCATCACCTTCCCCTACTGCCTTCTATCTTTCCCAGCATCGGGGTCTTTTCAAATGAGTTAGTTCTTCACATCGGGTGGGCAAAGTATTGGAGTTTCAGCTTCAACATCAGTCCTTCCAATGAATATTCAGGACTGATTTCCTTTAGAATTGACTGGTTGGATCTCCTTGCAGTCCAAGGGACTCTCAAGTGTCTTCTCCAATGCCACAGATCAAAAGAATCAATTCTTTGGCACTCAGCTTTCTTTAGAGTTCAACTCTCATATCCATACATGACTACTGGAAAAATGATAGCTTTGACTAGATAGATGGCCTTTTGTTGGCAAAGTAATGTCTCTCCCTTTTAATATGCTATCTAGGTTAGTCATAGCTTTTCTTTCAAGGAGTAAGCATCTTTTAATTTCATGACTACAGTCACCATCTGCAGTGATTTTTGGAACCCCCAAAAATAAAGTCTGTCATTGTTTCCATTGTTTCCCCATCTATTTGCCATGAAGTGATGGGGCCGAATGCCATTTTCTGAGTTTTCTGAATGTTGAGTTTTAAGCCAGCTCTTTCACTCTTCTCTTTCACTTTCATCAAAAGGCTTTTTAGTTCTTCTTCACTTTCTGCCATAAGAGTGGTGTCATCTGCATATCTGAGGTTATTGATATTTCTCCTGGCAATCTTGACTATAGATTGTGCTTCCTCCAGCCCAACAGTTCTCATGATGTACTCTGCATATAAGTGAAATAAGCAGAGTGACAATATACAGTCTTGATGTACTGCTTTCCCAATTTGGAATCAGTCTGCCGTTCCATGTCCGGTTCTAACTGTTGCTTCCTGACCTGCATACAGATTTCTCAAGAGGCAGATCAGGTGGTCTGGTATTCCCATCTCTTGAAGAATTTTCCACAATTTGTTGTGATCCATACAGTCAAAGGCTGTAGCGTAGTCAATAAAGCAGAAATAGATGTTTTTCTGGAACTCTCTTGTTTTTTCAATGATCCAATGGATGTTGGCAATTTGATCTCTGGTTCTTCTGTCCTTTCTAAATCCAGCTTGAACATCTGTAAGTTCACAGTTCATGTACTGTTGAAGCCTGGCTTGGAGAATTTTGAGCATTACTTTATGAGTGTGTGAGATGAGTGCAATTGTGCGGTAGTTTGAGCATTCTTTGGCATTGCCTTTCTTTGGGATTGGAATGAAAACTGACCTTTTCTAGTCTTGTGGCTGCTGCTGAGTTTTCCAAATTTGCTGGCATATTGAGTGCAGCACTTGTGATGCCTCCTAAGGCCCACTTGACTTCGCATTCTAGGATGTCTATCTCACCTGTTCACGAATTCCAGGATGTC